GTTGGACAATCTAAATGAAAGAAACATATGTGGATGCTAGCTATAAGTAAATATTTCCAATTAATAATCTACAACAATGAAAAAACGTATATACTGCTCAATGTAAAATGACTTGAAATACCACTCGGTTGCAAAGTGATTTGTGCGAAGAAAAGAATTTTCGAAGTTAAATTTATCTTGAAGTGAAAGTTTATAGATAACACGCTACAACAAAGAAAAAACGTTTTTATGTAAAACGCTGAGTTACCTGAAATATTCTTCAGTTCTTCAAGTTGAACGAAACAAAGCGTTTCAGATTTACATTTAGATTGACAAGATTAGTTCTATCTAATAATTTACAATAGAGGAAAGAAGAATATACAGTAATCCCAAATATAGATTTATCTGAGATATTGTTAAGGTGAACGACTTGGGTGAAAGAAGCTTTTTGAAAGTTGAATGAAACCTGAAGCGAGTATTTTGATCTAATAATATAAAACAAAGATATAGTTATAGTGTTAAGTGTAGAATTACCTGAAATAATCTTGAATGAAATGACTTGAAAGAAATTTAACCCTTTCAATATACAATATAACTGCAAATATAAATCCATAGTAATCTATGGCAGAAGAAGAAATAAATATAATTGTTGCAAGTAAAATTGTCTTATTTGTTCACCTCAAAGATTTGAAGAGCAATGTGAGTATTGAATGTAATTTGAGATAAATGTTTAAATTGGCTAATCTAAAACAGAAAAATAAAAATTGTCATTCAAAAGATGGAATTACCTGACAAATAGTTCCGTTGGACAACGTGCAAAAAAAACCAATGACATTGGCTCTAAATATACATTCATATAAACATTGAAATTGAAAAGTCTATAATGGATAGCTGAGATTGATAGTTTTAAGGATAAGCGTACATCATGGAGGATTGTGATGGCGAACTTAAAAGAAAATTACTTCAGTTTTTCAGTTGGAGGAACCTATTAGAGGTATATTACGAAACGTGTAAGGGTTTCATACGAAACTTGACTCAACTTTGACTTTCACAAAAGTATGGTACAAAACCTCTGTCACTTCAGAACCTTATAAAACGATCGCACCGAACTTTTACTAGTACTAAACCTACAAAAGGTTTCGCAGGTTCATACCATAACTCTAAGGGTTTAATAAGGTACCACCAAACCTTAAAGGTGAGGATTAGACAAATATTGGATCGGTGGCATCAATGCTCGTTTCAAGCGGAAAATGACGTTCAGATCAAAAAGACTTAAAAATTAAACTTATGACACACACACTCAACAAAAAAACAGTAGCGAAAATATTCCGTCCTCAATAACGTCAAACCACTGTAAAAATGAATTTGCATCGGAAAAATGAAAAATCATTTTTCCCTTCGAAGAAAAATGCTATTGTGAATTATCTTTAGTAAGAATCTTGAGGGTGTGGGTGAATAATGGACCTGGGGTATGAGTAGCTTGTCAAAATCTCACCCTTATATTGACATCCATATTTGTAATCATTGCTTTCACAAATAAAGTAATGGTTACATTTTCATGATGTGTTCTATGGTAGTAAAGTTTAAGAAAACTCAATGAAAAGTTCTTCAAAAATTAATTTATCTTTAGAGAATATTTATCTTTTACGATAAAATATACATATCTGGTATTCTTGTTGAAGGCAGTATATCTAATGGCAACCTTTTTTCCTTTGGTAGAGAGAATAGCTTGCGATATATCAACAGCAGCTGTAGAAACATCTTGAATTTTGAGAGTGAGATTTTCATTACCACCTCCAACTGCAAATTGGAGGAATTTTGGTCGATTTCCCTCAACATGAACCGAAGCATACTTGGCAAAAAACATAGTGACCATCCCAGTGAAAAATAATCATAGAAAAAAACGGATAGGAACGCATTCATCAGAATAGCGAAAGCTATATTTTTCATGAAGAAAGCGTTCTATAAGTTGACGAATGTGTTCATTACTGAAAAGAACTCGTTCAACATCCAAGTGAACGCATTCTTCAACTTTCTATACTGTTATGGAATGTTTTCTTCCTAGTTCAAAAATCTTTCTTCATCAGAATAGAAAGTCTTCTAACCTGTTCCAGTCACTATGAGAATATTTTTTTCCTTCTATTTGGTAAAGGTCAGAATTAAGTTCCATTTTGAGGAGATCGTGTTCTCTTACGTTTTGTAACGGAATGCCTTAGAATGAACTTTTGGAAGTAATGAACGCTTTCCAAATCATAAAACATCATTCTTGGAATGAAAAGAAAACGTTTTCTAACATTCTACATTTTTCAAATGTATATACGTGTATCTATATATATATATATATATTCATTTGATAAATATAAATACCAAAATTTATGCATAAAAACATATCTGTTTCGATATAAATACATTTGTAATTAATTATATTATATGTACAAGATTAATTTTAATTTCGAGAAATAATAGAGCGGGCTAAGAATTTAAGAAACAAGTACATTTTGGCTGGGCCTCATACATGGATAATATAATCGTTCATTTATGCCACATTTTTTTAGGTGCTAATAGTAGATGACTAGCATGTTGTTAGTTTCTGGGTCGAATAGCTAGTTTTAAAAACACATGGATGTGTCTTGTACAGTTGATATGGAAAAAGGAATTTTATAATTTCTGTTTCGAATAATTTTCGAAAAAGCCGTCCTATAAATATTTGTCTAACCGATCTAATGTTTTATTTGAATATTATATTAAAATTTTAAATATATATATTCATATTTAAAAAAGAATACATATTAATCCGTACAGCAGATTTTTTCATATTAATATGTAAGCATAAATTGTTTTAAAATATTTAGATAAACATTTTTTTATGTAATAATTGATTACTTTAATTTTAAAAACAATAGCCTAAAACTAAAATTTTAATCTTTTTTCTGTGAAATATGAAGGGAAATGAACGTTTAAAATGAAAATTTACATGTTTTGATTCTAATATTTTGTTGAACTCCAGTAGTATTTTCACTACACTAACTATCAGACAAGATAGTTTAATAGCGTAAAAGCGTAGATAGGTCAGTACGAGCCAGCCCGAAACAGCGACAAGTAAAAGCTACGTAAATCAAATAGAATAATAAAATGTATAACAAATTCAAAACAGAGAAAAAAATGAATTCCAGGTAGCTAGGTAATTCTACAGAAAATACTTTTTATAGAATTGGTCGAGAAAAATTCTGTTAGATGATAGAATTCGTTATCCAACATTTCCAAATGAGAACGGTATAGAACAGATTCCGAAAAGATGAAAAATTGTTTCTAAGAAAAAAAAACGTTTTGGGGTGTGGGAGGGGGGGGGGGGGGCAATATCAATAGTCGATTATAGCATACAGGTTAAAATCGTTATTTTGGAATTTGTTTAAACGAGAGAAAAAATGAAGAAAACGGCCATAGCTAACAGTTTTCAAAAAGTAACTGCCTTGTTTGTACGCTTTTTCTAGAATCTGAATGCTTTTTTTCTACATAATCTTGAAATATCTGGCATGTGTATAGAATTCGAATTAAAAGATTTCTCAAGAGGCTGAGTGTAGTACGTCAAATAGTAGTGTGGTGTGTATAGCAGGCGTATGTGTTTAAACAAAACAATAAGCTATATCCAGAGTCTGAACAAAATTGACGGCAATCGGACATTTTGTGGCCTCTATCAAAATTAGCAAAGTCTTTCAGATATTAATCAGAATGTGTATGCGTTTGTTAGTGTTCTGTTTAGTAGTATTGTGTGAATGTTGATATACATACTATTGTAATACAACATGTACCCGAAACAGTTGTTTGAAAAATACAACTAAATGATCCATATGTATATTTTCTTGTTCGAAAAATTTCGTGTCATTTCTCATCTATATATGTATTTTTTCTTTTTGATATTTCTTTAGGACATTCTTTTTCTTTTCACACGTTGTTTTACTCTATTTCTTATCGTCGAACGTTACGCTATTCAAAATTTTTCTGCCTTTCCCGTCCGTATCATCAATAATTGTCATTTATTTCCATCAGAGTTGAAATTCATCTTTTTAATTCTGTCTGAGAAAACTTTTTCCCTTTTCAAAAAAAGAGACATGACCGGATTTCAAAGTTCAAATCATGATAACACAACACCAGAGGAATACAAAGCAAGTAACTCAGTGAATACCGTTTGCTCTGGGAACTACTGTATACCGTAGGTATGAAGAGCAACTGGTCACTTCTTCACTTATTACCAGACAACTTCAGTAATTATTTGAACATTCATAACCGCAAACTCAAACACAACCAGCCCACCAACAAATACCTAGTTAAACTCCCTAACTTCATTATAGTATCCTGTTTTCATAAAAGAATACGATATAGTAATGTAATTAAAACGAAACTGTCTTCTCTCGATACAGTACATTTATGTACACAAAAAAGTTAAATATTTATCTGACAAACAAAATTAATAACTAATTTCAAATGTTTTGATATATATTATTCATATTTATCGCTGCAAGAAAAGCAATGAGACGGACGACACAAACATGATTTGTCGATTAGTAAATTCAATATGTGATAAATGACAAACAATCTCGAGTAACAGTCACAATCAAGAGAGTTTACCATTCCATTTCATATTATGAATCTCATGGAGTTGAAGAACAGAATACCGGTAGATTTTCTTCCTGTGCGACCACTGTTTTCGTATTGTTCCAATAGTTCGTCTTGTTTTTTATTGACCAACGATTGGTATCGATATCTATTTTTTACTTTCATCTGCTTTGAAAAACAACAACGCGATCCCTCTGAGTAAATGCAAAGAATGATCACTAAAAACCATAGGATTGTAATTTTGGAACAAGTTGATTTATGCTTTAACAAAGTATGTATTGGATTTTCTAAATTATTCTTTATTAAAATTAGAAAAGAAATATATATCTACAATTTTGAGCACACGAAAACAAGCAAATCAAATGTGAATTCAAGCAATAAAGAACTGCATTAAGGCACAAAAAAAGTTAATGACGATTGGATGATCCATGAAATGGTTTCGAAGGTGGTTGTAGAGCCGATGATGACGAAGCATCACTACCTGCATTTGATCGTACTGATGAAGCAGGTGATGGTGCCCGGCGTATTCTCGGTAATTCATTCTTATATGATCGATCTGTAAGAGGAGGTTCTTGTTCATCAGGAAGAGGTGATGCACGAGGTGAATATAATGGCGGTTCTTTACGTGTTGCGAACGAATGACGTCGCATTGCTGGTTGAACAGCGCGCTCTTGTTGTCTTGGTGTTGCTGGTGGACTTGGTTGCAATTGCGAACGACGTTCTCGTGCTCTGACAAGATCTGATGGATCTTCTGGGTGATGACGATCAATTTGAGCTGCACGACGTAATTGCATTTGTAATTTCAACCGATTGGTAAAAAATACATGACGCCAACCACGTTCTTCAGCTAAATGAATTAAATCTTTATTTTCTAGAGCATGTTGCCCATAGTGATTTGTATAAAATATTCTCCAAAGATCATTATTACGACACAGCGAACGAATTGATTTTGATACTAATGCTATTTGTGGAATATCTTCAAGATTTACAAATGAAAGAATACGTATTTGAATATTTGGTGGAAGACGTGCTATCCAATCATATTTTCCGGTAACTACATTTAAACAATAATCAAGTGTATTTTGACCAAAGAAACGGGACACTTCACGTCGAGCAATTTCATCATAATAAAAATCTTCGTATGAATCCTTTTTTTCACTTGGATACATTGAACCATCAACATTTCGAAGTGTTATTTTCCACCAACGTAGAATTATCTTGAAAATAAATAAATTCAAATTTAAATAACAAAGTTCATCAAAATAATAATTATTAAAATAAACCTTATCTATTGTAATTTCTAGGCGACCGTAATCTTTCGATGGAGCAGGAGCTTGACCATCACATTCAAATAGAATTCCATCATCACGTACAAGTTGTGATAAAAATGGATGAGCTTTGAGAAACTGACCCATATTACATATTTGATCAGGATTATCATGATGATGATGCTTAGTTACAGCTGCAGCCTTTGAAGAAGAAGCACTTTTTGTATCACCTTTTTTTTTAGTACTCGCCATGATTGTAGTCAAATTTGAATGTGTTGCGACGCAGTGAACCTCCCTTGATCTATTTATTTACGTCTGACAACGCAAATAAAAACTAAACGTCGAAGAAGAAAAAAAAGAATCGTACTCTATACCTTCGACATGGATGGTGTGATGATTTCTGTTGTTTGGCAAAAAAGAAAAGAAAGAGAAGGAACTTTAGACATTCAAGAATTGGATTGGATTTTTACTATTCTTCCATTCTATACTCGTTCATTCATTCATTCCAGATTTTTCTTTTTGACGCGTTTAAATTTAAACCAATGAAATTGAAACCATTAGAGTTAGATATCGTGTCGCCAGTATCATTATCAAAACTAAAATTCGATAGTATTATAATCTTGTTTAAATTTTCAAAAATAGATACAATGAGTACAACGAAGAAAATGCCTATTTTTGTTTTACAACCTAATTCGATACATGCTCAATGGCAAGGAGAAAAATTGAATAGTGTCTTTCAAGTAAGGTTTTTCAAGACGCATTAATCACTGAATATTTTTTCTTATCAAGTTACTTGAATCAAGTAATTTTCATCCACATATGATTAATGAAGAAACAATGATGAATATGAAAGATTTAAAAGGAAAAATGTTTGTTATCGAACCATTTTCCGGTCAATTATTTCAATATTTAAAACTTAATAAAGCTTGGTAAAAAAAAAAGAAAAGAAAAGAAATCATCTTAATTTTCATCGTTAAACTTAATTTTTTTATTCTTTTCTAAAACAACAAAAGGGTACTTGGCCCACAGTTAATTACAACTTGTGTTGATCATAATATTACGATTCCATGTAGTTCCTATCCTCTTTATTCGCTTGCCATGCAATCATTAACTATTTGTTGTACGAATCTTCCAAATGTTGATCGTGTAAGAGAAGATGTTTCCCATACAAAACTCGAATTATATTGAGATTTAATAGGAGAAAATTCGTCGATCTATTGCTTACATGGGTGGTAAATTTCAAACAAATCTGAATGCCAATGTCACTCATTTGGTATGTGGAGCTTGTGCAGCATCAGAAAAATATTTTGTAAGTTTCCGGGAAACCAAAGAGCTTTTTCCTTTTTAAATTTATTTTAACGAAAGGTTGCTGTTGAAAACGGAATTCAAGTTATGATGCCCGAATGGGTTCCAAGTGTATTTACACTTTCAGGACAAAAGTAATGAGAAATATTGACAGATAAATTTGTTTTATTCTTTTTATTATGTAGAACAGTAAAAGGGACCGATTCAACATTCGATCGTTTTAAATGCCCATTATTTTATAAATTTATTATTTCACTATCAGGTTTTGTTGAAAGAGATCGTAATACACTTAAGCAATATGTTGAACGTGAAGGTGCAACATATTCACCAAATTTAATTAAAGATAAATGTACTCATCTGATTTGTAAAGAACCAAACGGTAAAGTTTTACTAAAAAGAAAGAAAATTAATTGTTTATTTAATCAAATCTACTTGGGTTAGGTTCAAAATTTGAACATGCTGTTAAATGGCGTATTCCAGTACTTAAACCTGAATGGATTTTTGAAAGTAGTGAAAAAGGTTCATGTCTTCGTTTAACGAATTTCTTATGGCCAGCGCCAAGTATTGTTTCAATTAATAGCAAAGGTTTACTTTCTTTTATTTGTATACAGTGATTCTTATTTATAATTTCGATTTCTAGAGAATGAAAAACCTGTATCTATTGATACGATTGATTCATCAGCAAAAATTGTAGCAGTTGATCAACGACGTAAATCGACATCATTTTTAACAATCGAAGAAATGAATGATCTTGAAGAACGTTTTGATAAATGGATGAATAATCGATCGAAAAAGATAATCGATGATTTCTTTGATGGTTTAAAGGTTTATTAACTCAACATAAAATACAATTGACTAATCATTTGATTTTCATAGATATACTTAGGGCAGTTTTCTTCAACATTACGTATGCGTATACAAAAAATTCTTGATGGTGGATGTGCTGTTCGGTATAAACTAACTATTATTTATATCGAAATCATAGTGAATGTTACTTTTTTTCTCATAGATTCGATACACTTAATCCATCAGTAACACACATTATTCGAGGTAGTGAACCTGCATCAAACTATATTCAACTAGCTAGTATTGCTCCAAAGTAAATGCTCGGTTTGATCGTCATTTCAGTTCATAATGATGTTTTGTTTTTTCATTTCAGTGCTCATGTTGTTAATCCACAATGGTTATTGGATTGTTGTGAAAGAAATGAACTTCTACCTGAAATTGATTATTTGGTCGCGTCGGATCGAGATGAAAAGTAAAGTTTGATTAATTTAATTTTATGTAGCACAATTTGAATTGTGTTACATATCTTAGCAACAGATCCGATATATAAATGACTTTCTTATTACATTTCTGTAGCACTAAGAACAAGAAATGAATCTTGAAATAGATAAAAGTCAAACAAACTATGCGATAAACTGCTAGATTGCGTGTTTGACATTTTCATTCCGTAGGCATTCGGGTAACATATTTTTAATTTAGACAAGATTCTAATTCCAACCTAACCGAAGATAAAAAGAAAAATAGTAATTCTAATTTATCAATGTCATCATCAGCATCACTAATGCGTCAACCAACTGGCAGTTTTAATGTAGATCAAACAGTGCTCGTATGTGATTGATTATCAACTGGACAAAGATAATATCATTTATTATCATTTGATTAGCAGGATGATACTCCTCGTGTTCGTCGGACGCCCGCATCGGGCACATCAACACCTTCGATTATTCCTGAATATGCTCTTTCACCATTTTCGTTACTTAAACGTTATTCGAATGTTCCACGTCCACCTATTTTCGAACAAACATTAACTGATACACAAATTGATAGAATTAGCGAACAGTTGCCGCCAACAGAATCTCAAATGAATGTTGATAGATTAATGTCTGATATTGATATTTTAATGCCAACTTTACTTAATCAAAAACCATCAGCATCGTCATTATCATCATTATCATCGAATATTGTTTCTACAGGATCATCATCTAGAATGAATATGATGCCTTCACGTTCATTTTTTCTTAGCCATCAAGCCAAGCTAACTGTCGATGAAGATTCAACATCTGATGTTAAAGTATCATGGATTGATGATTCAACAGAACAGGAACGTCTTCGACAATATCAATTACATAATCTAGACGAAATGACACAATCTGATGATGCATATTAAATCATACGTGTTTTCCTCTTTTCTTTTTTGTTCAGTATTCTTCGGTGTTATTTTCTTCTTGTATAAAAAGAAACAAATAAAATAAAACACAATTTTCTTATTCTTAATTCTAGATTCCAGTTAAAATCATGACTGAAGATAATAAAAAACAATTAGAAACAATTGGTAAATAAACAGAAGATTTTCTTATGCAGCGAAAAGTAGATCTTGTTTTTATTTCTAGATAAATTAAATGAAACAAATCGTAAATTTACGACAAGTACAACTGTAAATATCTTAAATGATCTACATCTAATGAATATACGTGAACAACACGAATGGCAACGTTATGAATTATTTCGAAAATACGAAAAAACAATGCCAAATAAAACAAAATCTCCCTTAATAGCTCAATCACATAGTTCATCTTCATCATCAATCGAACCAATCAATACACCATTGATGATCAAGTAAACTAATTTTGCAACCTACTATTTCCAATTGTACTTTCTGTTTTACAGTAACATTCATGATCAACAGCTAACTCCACCTGAAGATAGTCTATCGAATGATATTAGAGAAGATCTCCGATCACTTATTGAACAACGTGTACCTGACTTATGTATTCTTGATGGTGAACCTATGCAATATAACAATGGTTTGTTTTCAAAATCTAATATACAGGAGATTTAAATTTGCTCCTTTGAATATTTTTCCGTTGAACAAAATAGTATTTCTTCCTATGGATTATTTAGGTACGAAATTTTATTGTACTATAAATGATATATTAACTAGTGATGGCGAATTTTGGGTTGAACGAGAATTTTCTGCTGAAAACGAACGCAAATTTTATCAATTTATTGATATACTTTCATTATTTGCTACTAGTTATGAATCATTAAAAGAAGTTTATGTTGGTCAATTAGTGGCATTACATTATGAAGCATCTTGGCATCGAGCATTAGTAGCATCGAAAAGCGAAGGACCAACAGTCGCTAAACAACCGAATGCACGTGTTCGACTTGTTGATTATGGTTCATCCTTATATGTTAATGTTTCACAACTTAAATGGTTACCTGAACAATTTTATTTATTTCCTTTTAAAGTGAATTTTGATTCCGTTCGAAAATGAACTTCTAATAAATTATTGTATAATCTTTTTTATTTTAGGCAGTTGAATGTTTATTTAGTGAAGCTGTAAAACCAACGTTTTCCGATACCGTTCGGCTCACATTTAAACAACTTGTATTAAATAAACGGTTACGTGCAACGGTCGTAAGTTTGACTTGACATAATAAGATTTTCAATATTTCAATTTTTTTTAGTATGACAGAGATAATAATCATATTTGTGTCTTATTAAAATGTAAAACTGATGAAGGCATGGTTAATGTTTATCGATATTTACGTGCACATGAGCATAAATCAAAAAATGGTCGAATGCTAGATGATGGTGCTATAGTACAATGTTTACATAATACTATTTTTAATACTAGCAATTCTAGTTATCAATCGTCAATATGCAACAAATCAATGAATACATCAATTAGTTTAACATTACCTATTCTATCACCGCCATCACCAATTAAATTAACACGTGATCAAATTGAAATGAGACGAAGAGAAATAAAAAGAATCTTTAAAGAACCTTTGGATGAAAATAATAATACGATGCTTTCCAGTGAAAGTAATGGTAATTTATCTATGTAAGTAATTGAAATTATTAAAACGAACGGAAACTAGCTGATCGAAAATAAATATGGAACTTGATGCACAAATTTTCAACTGTCAAACCTTTACATTGGAGTCTAGAGAATACAGAATATCTAAGTAAATGGTAGAGCAATACTGAAATGCACATTCAAATATGATTTTTGAACTTGAGTGCAGAGGCGAGTTACAAATAAAATGCTTTTAGTAGCTCTACTTGTATTTTTGGTTCTGACTCGAAGAGCACGAAATCAAGTTTGATTTTAGTTTCGGTGACTTGTAGTACATTATTTACTAAAAATCAGTGAAATTTAACTTCGATTCTACCGACTAACATTAAAATATGCTCTTTTGGTTAAATATATACATTGAACGTGTAATGTATTTACAGACGATGCAGGTCTTCGAATCGTTTTTAAAGTGACAGTTAAATATAAATTAGTTGAAGATATAAAGTGTAAAATTTTTAATTTTTAGTAATGCTACAAAAGACCATAAAAAGGCACTGTTTTCATCATCTCAAAGTACACCGTTCTCCGCTAATACAACCATTACACCACTGCCACGCCTTTCATTCACTCAACAGTAAATCAACCTTAAACTGTTGATAAAATATCAAACAAACCCCGTTTCTTGTTTTTTTTTATTTTCTTTGTTTTATATTTTATTCACGAAATAGAACAGCAACAAAAAAGAATAATAAATATACATATATATATATATATATCTTTCTTTTATTTCTAATTTTGTCTGTTTCTTTCACAACATTAAGCAACAACAGTAACAACAACAAAACGGAAAAAAATAAGTTAAGTATTCTGTGATGCTAAATTTATTCGTATTGAATCTTTCGATTTTTGATTGACTGTTTTCAATTGAAAATTTTCTTGCCGCAATTGGTTTACAACAAGTAAGTCGTCTTCGCCATCTTCATCGTCCTCCTCATCATCAAAATCATCCATAAGTAAAGAGTTCTTTCCATTGGTTGATAACAATGGTTTACGATCGTGTTGTCTTACATCTTGTTCATCGTTGTCTTTCAGCGATTGTTTTCGTATAAGTAATGGTTTTATATAAACTTCATTTAGTTTTTCTAAGCCTTTCATTGAATTTGGATTAGCAAATTGAATTTCATAACTATCAATACTATCATCATTCAAATTACGTTTTCTTTTATGCATATAATTTTCGTCGTCATTAAGTAAATCATCAAATTGCATTGTTTTACTCATCATCGCATGTACATTCACATCATCAGATGATTCTAATGAATGTTGATGAGACGTTGACGGTGAACGACGTCGAATGAGCTTCACGACAGGTATGGTTAGACCACCTAAGACAAGTATTGTGAATAGAACAGTGACTAGTGTAGTCGTAACAAGAGTCCGTTTAAGTTCTTCTTCATTTTCACCATAGTATTGACCGACATGGACAGAAAGTGCATAGGAAATAGCACCTAAATAGAGAAGTAAAATATTAAAATAAAAAAACAGAATATGTCTTATTGAGGAATTTGGTTGAGTAACATGCAAATTGGTTTTATGAATACTTTTCTTGCATGATTATTTCGAAAAATTGAGATAAATTAAACTAATTTTTATCGAACTATTAATTTTGTTAGTATTTCATGCTGATAGGATAGTCTTAAGGCAAAAGATTTTGCATCTGTAGGGAAATGTATGGGAATGGAAGTGAAAGTTAAAATCATAAAGTAATATTTATTTCAGTGAAAAATAATCTAAACGGCACGTGTTGCAGACTACTGATATAAACTTACCATTCATTCTCTTCCAAAGATCGTACAAACAAAAATAGATCGTTTCGAAAAAGATGAAACAAAACAACATCCTCCGAACAAGTTCGTGATAGCAATTACAACGTGTTTCACAGATTAACCCCTACAGAAATTATAGTAACACCTGAGTATTCAGTTTTTTTTTCGTATCTATTTTGTATTGTATTAACGTAGGAGGATAGGGATGCCACGGTGAGAAAATGGTGAAGCCGGTAAGAATACGAAAAACCTACGATGAAGGCCGACACATTAGCATTGCTGGGTTGTCTTAATAGAGTGCTGTCTGGATAACATAAAAACCGACCATTACCGTAGGTTCTTCATCAGTTTACCTGCTTTCACCGGTCTGAACGATATGCTTGAAAGTGCATCTCTATAGGAGGATATAATCATGCTTGACAGGAACAAACTTCTATTTATTTTATCTGTAAAGGTAATATCCATGAAGTACAACTTATCAGATATGTCCATGTAAACTGATAAAGAATATGGTTCTAGGTTTACTCGATAATTCTATCAAATAGATGAGATAATATTTTTCTGTTCTATAGTAATATAAATTATTCAGAGCAAAAAAAGAAGCCAATCGCTTACCTCTTAATCCGGCAAACCACATAATCAGTTGCATTGAAAATGTAATGCGATGATTTTTCGATCGAAAACAATTCATTAAAAATGATAATGGAAAAACATGTGCTGCACGTCCAACTAATGTTAATACGATTGTCCAAAAAATAAGTTTTGGATGGAATGCATGTTGATATTCAAATATTCCCAAGCCCAAATAAACAAAAACGCAAGTTTCAGCTAAAAAAGCGATCGTACGAAAGATGACAGTTATTGATTGACGGCCGACTTGGGACAAATTTTCGTGTGTATAATGTGACATTGTTAAGCCACATACAAGAATCGACATAATACCCGATAAATGAAAAAGTTCAGCAAACATATATGATGCATATGCCGTGAGAAGAAGAAGTGAAATTTCTAATGATAATGAACTTTTATCAAAGGCAAGATGTTTTGTTAACAATGCACTTGTTAAACCAAAAACGAGACCAAGAAAACCGGACGAATAAAACATTAAAGAAAATCTAGTCGAGATATGCATTAAAGTTTTAACCGATGAAACGATTTGTGTTGACCATGATGTTGTCGTACTATTGATTTGTACGGCTCGTTTAAATCTAGATGATCCTATAATAGATTTGAAAGAATATTTTATTTTATTTTAGCTTCAAGAACGTACCTGCTCTTCTTCTTCGTTTCTTCGATTGAATGTTTTGCTTATTTATAAAATTATTGAAAGTTTCTGGTTCAGTAGATTCATCGACTTCATCGTCAGTTAAATCATTATTTTCATTTTCATTTGGAAATAAATTAGATATATCCGGTTTTGGTTCATAGAAAGGTCGTTGATGACTAAGTTGCGTTAAATCATTATAATTTCGATGTCGAAGTGATGTTGTTACCGATGGTGTAGTTGTAAAATTCGAACTTGCTAATAGACCAATCATTGAATATGTTGTTAATTTAGTGGTACTGATATTTACAAATTGTCTTTTTGATTCTACAATAACATTTGTTAATACGATCGCTACAGCATCGTTGAGAATTGATTCACCAAAAACAAGCATATATAGTAATTGATCAACATTCAACACTTGAAATATCGATAGAATAGCAACAGGATCAATCGCTGGAAAAAATAAATAAATAAAAATAAAAAATTCTCGCATGAAATTTCATACGTACCAGAATTAAGCGATCCAATGATAAAACATTCTCGCCATGGTAATTTATAAGATAAATTAGCCAGTCCCAATAAATAAAGACCAACACCAGTAACGAGTGCATTTATGGTTGTACCAAATATTGCGAATGTTGAAATTGTTCCAAGATTTCGAAAGAAATTACCTTTGTGTAAATGATAACCTTGTTCGAATATAATCGGTGGAAGAAAAAGCATGAAAAATAAATTCGAATTTAGCAATGGAGATGATGTTTGAACGATTGCCGTTGGTGACTGATCGCTTTTTGATATCCATTGATTGTATAATTTAATAACTAAACCAAATATTCCACCGATATAAATAATAGCCACACTTTCGGGCAAATAATTAAATCGTTTGCGTATAAGTAAATGAATAATTAAAACGCAAATAATCAATAATATCAGTAGAAGAAATATTTGCGTTGAAGATGATAGTTCCGACATGGTAAAATACGTTGCTCAGAATGTGTAACGATGCATATACAAATAAAAACAATTCAGAGTTACCTGTTTTTTCCTCTCTCTTTCTTTCTGCTTCGTCACTGCTCTCACTAACGTGCACAGTACACCCACGGAATAGAGGAAAAAAGAAAACTTTTTTACCCTTATTACTAGCAGTATGACTATTCTTGCTTTTAGCGTTCAGTCGATCGCTTGCCTACTACGCCAACGCACATCGCCTTTTTTTGTCCTTTTTTCTATGAGAAAAAATCTTTTTCAGCACGAACATTTTTCTAACTAGAATAGAACGATGCAAAAAGAGAGAAAAAGAAATAGAAAGACAACTAGTTGACGATGTTGGAGCAGTCGGATCTTCAATAGCTATACCCGCTCTGCTGTTTGTATGTCTATGCATATATTTTTCTTCTTTTTTTCTCTTTCCATCGTGTAGAACAATGAATAAGCCACATTGCCAGTTCCCAATTATAGGAGGAAGAGACAAAAGAACTTCTATGAGGTCTATTGGAGCGGTGGTCTAAAGACGCTAGTTTGTTTTTCATAGAAAAATCATGATACAGTGTAATTTTGATCATTACTAAACTATACTTCACGTAAAAAAAAATAGAAACACAAAATTACTAAGATCATAATGATTATATTTCATGTATAGACAAATGGTTAAGTATATTCTCCAAGGGACAATTATCAATATTGATTCCAGTCATTGTTTACTCGTTATTATTAATACCAGAATGTTGATTACAATGTTTGCCGTAGTGACGAATAGGTTTAATGGTACAAGGAACATTTTCCTTTAAATCGTTTAGTCCATTCGAGAAAGGAACAATGTTAGTATATGATTCTGTATGTGAAAATATTCGTTTCAAGAATCGTCGAGAGATCTTTTTGAGTGATTTGGTAGGTTTAATAAAAGCATTGACGTTGTTATTGATATTACTCATATTACATGTTGAAGTAATAGATGGCCTTCTTATTCGCCGTTGTTCAGAACGAATAGAATAAGTCTTTGTATTGGGTTCAGGTAATTTAATCTTCAAACTTCTATTATCACTTGTTATTGAACGTTGATCTGTTAAATTTCGAAATAAAAAAAAGTTCATTTGATTAAAAGAATAATAACACATGCCTTCGGCTATCGTCGAATCACTAGTCTCTTGATTTTGGTTTCTTGTATATTCTTGCAAGAAATTCTTCATAATTTTTTTTCTTGTTTTTCGATCTAAGTTTTTGTCCAACGGGTATGATTTAAGTAAGAAGTTTACTTTTTGTTTGATTAAAGCTAGTGGGCACGATTCTTTTGAATGTGTATCAGACGATACAAGAGACGACGATGAAATATTCACCGGCTTCGTACATTTTATTAGTTTACGCTGTTGCACTGTCAACAAAGGATTTTGCTTTAATATTTCAGTTAACTGATTTTTCGAGTGCTTTAATTTCAAAAGTCGTTTTTGAATGGAATCACTACAAATTTCACAATTACAATCGATAATTTACATAAGCAAATCATTCTGCATTAGTATTATTGAAACATTTACGTTTGATTACTAGACTGATTTCGCTCGTTTTTCATGCTTTTCTTCGATGATCGATGAGAGACTGATAAACTATTCGATAATTTTTTGGTCGTGCTTGTTAGTGTTAAGTCGTTGTGCTCTGGCAATTTTGGTTTACGATGTGTTTGATTTGAATTTTGTACCAATTCAGATGATTGCCCTTCAGATTTTATAAGCACGTTACTAGTTGGAGATGACGTTCTTTTTGTAATGTCAGGTATACTTTTGTACATTTGTGTCATTGATGAAGATGAAAGTAATGCCGTCTTTTCTTTTATTGTACGATTCAATGTTATCGGTGTATTATGTATATTTAGTTGTACTGTAAGTTAAAACAATGCTTTATCGATGACAAGTAGTGAAAGCTCGAAAAATTAACGAAATAGAATTGTACAAGATATTTATTTTAGCGTGCACTCACATAGACTCACAAGAAAGAGCTACTCCAGCAAATCTGTCATCAAACTGAACGACCTATAGCGCGAGAACAACTATTCTAAATCTAAAAATTCATACTCTGATTTTCCTTGATTTTAAACTGATTACGTGAAATATCTTCCATAATTAATCTAGCTGCCTCATGAACATCCAGTTGAGGCTACGTAAAAAGAACGTTTATTTTTTTTATAGAAATATCACAATTATTTACCAACCATTGCATCAAGCAATTGCTTCGTAGAGCAAGTCGTAAATCGACAAATATCTTCAATCTATAAGTTACTTTTAGTATTCATCACTTCTAACGATTTGAACACAACAACTTTTTTTACCATATCTAAAGTGATAGTAGTTCCTAGACGATTGAATACTTCACGTATAACTTCCTTGACAAAATCTTCAGCACATATCGGCTATTAGAATTTAATTTATTCGTCAATGTAATGCAAATCTTTAAAAACAATCTACTTTCGAATTTTTTAAATATGGATATTTCATTGCACCAACTGTTTGTACGTGGAGAATCGCTTCGTCTAATGTTATTTTTTTCTATGTGTTGAAAAAATAGAACACTTTTAGTTTTTTGTATCGAAACTAACATATAAGCAACTACTGATAATGTTCTAAGAATATGTATCCTACTACAACTCTCAAACACCAGAAATCGAAGCATTTTCAAAAACAGAAAAATGATCTGAATTCTTTATTCAATTAATTCATCTTACCTTATTTTCAATAATAGCCTGTGCCTCCGAATGTAACGTTCGAATAACATCAGGTAACTATAATAAAAATCAAAGGTTTTTTGCGCTTCTAAAAATTTACCAAAAGAAATTTCAATCAAACTTCAGATATAACAATATTATGTTTGGCTTGTTCAATAATAAAATTAACGATATATCGAATAAAATCAATATCTCGAATATGTTTCTTTTCACTTGGATCCTACACGAACGAGAACTATATTTACAATAAATTTTCACTCTTAACCAACATGCAACATTAATTTAGGATTCGGTGGGTCAATTCCATAACGTTGTTTCAATCGATCACACAATGACACTGAATATGATTTTAATGATTTTTTTTCTATGCGTACTCTCTGAATAAATACCCGATGATTTATATGCCGACGAAAATAAATCACACATGATAAATTTTCAAAATTTGAAGCTTAACCAACAAAAAAATCATTCAAATCAAATGATATTATTATTATCTCGTTTAAGCGGCAAGTTAAGTTGCAAATATTATTTATATACAACGAAAAAAAAGAAAACAAATGACAGAAAAAAGAAAGAAAAAGTAGATTTAAAATAGACATCTGTTTATATAATCAAGACAAGTTCGCCGTTTTCAAACCATCTTCGATAATGGCTATTAAACGTTGAGCTTCAGTTGATTCTGGTACTTCGTTTTCATAGACGTTACCGAATACGACAACTCGAAGTAAACTTACAGCTTCTAAAAGAGAAACCAAGAAAATATATTATTTGTTTTGTTCTAAAAAAATATAAATTTTCTTACCATAGTATTCTTCTGGTATTTCAACCATATATACTTCGAATGTAACGAGAAAAAGAAGTAATGCTTGTTTCAACATTCCTTGACCTGTGGCTAATTCACAAAGTGGTTTTCGACCATAGAAAAGAAAATACGACGATGTTCCATTAACGAAGTCCATTACAGTTAATCGTAAATGACTACTATCATCTGTTTCTTTATCACTTCCTTTGGTACTGTCAGTCTGAAAAGAAAGAGCAAAATTTTCCGATTTCTATAATAACATCATTGTAATTCATAAGCAGATCTGAGTAGAATTAGAAAAAGTCTAAGTAGATTGGCTACTGTGTTCAAAGATTTCTTCGAAAAAATTCGAAAGTTGTTTTATAGTTGTGTCTTTATTTTAGGGAGCTCTTACTTGTTTATTTTGTATAATAAAATTACAATTTAATGCTCTACATAATTGCATTAAACATAAACGATATGTTAAATCCATATTTTCTCGTTTTCTTATTGTAAAATGCTTTGTTAATATATCAAGTACAAGACCAATTGTTTTACTGAACGACGAAATATGTCTACCGCGTAGAAGACCATATTCACCAGTTAACTAAAAAACAAACTTATTTCTTATTTAGGAAATAAGAAAAAATTCTTACAAATTCTTTTCCAGCCATAAATGGTAATTCTTGTAAAATGCCATAGAGATTAAGATCAGCATTATTACTCAACCATTCACGGCGTCTCGTATGTGTTTTTGATAGATATTGTTTGTATAGTGTTGAATATTGTACTTGACCTTGAATTTGACGAAGTTTTGCAGTTATTGCATCATAATACGCATCATCTTGAAATTAAAAAATGTTGTTTTTTTCTCATCTTTTATTTACAACTTATCTACTTACTATTTTGATGTATTCGATTATCATTTTTTTCAATTCGACCTGATTTAGCCCGAATTTTTTGACGCATATTACGCATTTTGATCGATAATTTACGACAGAGTAAAGCCTAAATAATAATTTATAATTATTAATATTTCTAAAGCAGTACTTCTTACTTCAGGTTTAAGATGATTGCCTTTTTCAGCTAGACAAGGATATTTTTTAATTAAAGCTAAACCAATTTTACGATATTCTCGACCCGTTTTTAATTGTGGATAAGTTTTCATGAAAAATTCTGCTGTTTCATTGATAAATTCTTGTAATACTTGAGCTGCTTGACCATTTTCTAAGCAAGCTTGAACACGTTCTGATAGTTCAGGTAATTGTGGCGGATGTGGAATAGGTGCATAACAACGAACACGACCACCACTGCGAGACACAGGTGTCATTGCACTACCACTTTCTTCATCTTCACCCATTAAACTCATATTAGGTGTATATAATGTACCACGCTATTTAATATAACAGATAAAGAAAGTTTTACGAGAAAGAAATCTAGATGAATAACATACTCGTTCGGAGACTGGCATCCATTCGGGATCTTCAAATTGAATCTATAGAAATAGTTTTATTATAAACTGACTTTAATACGAATTATAAACTCTTACATCGGCAAATTCATCTTCACTTTTTAATCCATACTCCATTGAATCATTGGGTTCAAGTTTTGTCATTCGACTCACTGTTCCAAAACGTCTTTTACCATCTAATTTTGGTCGTTTAAGATAACTATTTCGACGATGAGTATCATCATCGTCGTCATCGGATGATGCTTCATCAATATCATTATTTGTTCGTATGGTTGTTGCATTCGATGATGAAAGAAGTCCACTTGTTGCAGTTGAACTTTTCGTATTCGTTGGTGTGGAATGAATTTTTCTTATATGAATTTTAAATCGAGCTACAGATGGAAATGCTTCATCGCATCCATCGACTGGACATGCAACTTCAACTTCTTCATCACGATGTCGAATATCCAAATGTTCAACATAAGCTTGAAGACTTCGAGGATATATATTACATATTGTACAATGGAGCACACGTTGTGTTGATGACGATGTCGATGGACTATTGTAATCGACAAGATTTACACGATTTAATGACATCTAAAATAGGAGAAAACAATCATTCGCGCATTTTCAAAAAGCTTCTTTTCTTGGCCGCATTAATGGTTTCAATATAGGATAATTTTGTATGGAAAACAAAAAAACTAAGCATCTATGCTTCATAATAGAGGATGCATAAGTGCGCACACAATGGATGCACTATTATAACCGATAGAAGAATCAACCAATAGAAAATAATGATTTTTAGTTTTAGTGACATCTGACGATTATTTCTATTATTGGAGAAATGTAATACCGAACTAGCTTGACGACATAGAGAAACGATGAATCATGATGAAGAGGATTAATAGGTTTCTTTTTGAGCTGTAAGAATTTCGAGCATATTGTTTACTAACTTGTTCTTTTCCTCCTTAGTTCAATTGAAATAAGCGATAGAGAAAATAGTATTATTTAGCTCGGTGATTTATTAAATATAGAATATTACTAGACTAGACATAAACGAAACAATAATATAGATATTATTAGTAATTTGTATGAATAGTTGATTGAAAACTAAGATTTTCAAGGTATAGAAATTGATTTATATTTGAAATTGTAACAAAGATGATTGATTGTTTTCTAAATTTAGATGTCTACCGTTGTTGAAGAAGAAACATCTAGTACAACAAATGATGTTGAGCCAACAGTAAAAGTTTCTAAAAATCAACAACGAAAACAAAAACGCTATGAATTAATGCTTGAACGACGTAAATCCAAACGAAAAGAAGAAAAAGCTAAACAAAAACAACGTCGTATTGATAAAATAAGAAAAGCTGAAGATCCATCTCTTCTTACTCGCCATGGTCTTAAATCCAATCGTATGGAAAATTCTTCATGTCGCATACGAATTTGTATTGACTGTCGGTACGATTCAATGATGAGCGATAAAGATGTTGGTAGTTTACAAAAACAAATTGCTTTTTGTTATTCAGCAAATCGTCGTGCATTAGCACCATGTCAATTCTACATCACTAATATTGATGGTCAATTAGATAAACGTCTCGAAAAGAATAGTGCAAAAAATTGGGATATCCATCTACGAAACGAACCATTAGAACAAGTCTTTCCTCACGAAGATATACTGTATTTAACAAGTGAATCAGAAAATGTTCTAAGTAGTACAGAACCACTCGATGAACGAACTGTTTATGTTATTGGTGGTATTGTCGATCATAATTCTCGGAAAGGTTTATGTTATCAACTAGCTTTACAACATAAATGGCGACATGCACGTTTACCCATAGATGAATTTATTAAAATGAATACACGCCGTGTACTAGCTTGTAATCATGTGATGGAAATACTTCTAAATTATATTCAATTGAAAGATTGGAAAAATGCTTTCGAAGAAAATATACCAAAACGAAAACAAGAAATACAAGCAAACTCAGATAATGATATACCACAAATTGTTTCACCTGAACATCCAGAAGAACCGAAATCATGTGCTGAAGTTCATGAACGGCGAGAAGAAGTTGCTGAAGCAGAAGATTCTCCTTCTATTGCTTTATAATTTTGTTCAATGATAACTTTTGCTGTTTTCATGTTATTCTAGATATAAATGGCGTCGTCTGCTAGACGCCATCCGCCTCTTCGACCTTCGTCATCAACGAATCGAACCGCTCGAGAAGTTGAAAAACGAGTTAATACTCCTGGTCTTTCCAGTGATATCAACGACGAGGAATTCGGAATAGCTAGTGGTAAACCAGTACCACGTAGTTATTTACTTAAACTAATTAAAAGGTCTCATATGAATGGTATACTTAATTTAGCATCACGTGGTTTAACTGAAGGTGAACGATCAGCTTATTAAAATATGTCTAAATTCTTTTTCATTTAGTTCCCCCGGAAGTATTTGCAGAAGAAGTTGTTGAAGACGAAAATCAACAACGACAAAAAGCTAAAATACCAGATTTTAGCCAAAATACGACAGAAACTTGGTGGAATCGTGAGGCTCTTAAAACACTTGATCTATCATCGAACTGTTTAACGACTCTTCCAAACGAAATTGAAACATTAAATTATTTGGTTGTTCTTAATGTATGGATTTTGTTGTCGGTCAATCCATTCATTTTAGCTTTACTTTATTTAGGTTCACAACAATCAATTAACAACGTTGCCTGACGCCATACGTGGTTTAAGAGCATTAGAAAAACTTGTTGTTAGTCAAAATCAATTAACAATGTTACCCGATGGTTTTTATTTCTGTGCGTCACTTCTTTCATTGAATCTTTCGCGAAATCGTTTAACAAAATTATCCAATAAAATTGGTCAACTGTCATATATACAAGAATTAGTCAGTCGTAAATTTTCTTCTATGCTTTTATTGAATTTATATATTTCTACAGGATTTATCGGAAAATGAATTTGAATTATTTCCAAAAGAAATTGGTTTTTTAACGAAATTAACAAAACTAACAGTTGCAAAAAATCGTCTCCGAGCACTTCCACATGAATTTGGTGCACTCTATAGTACGTAATTTACATTCAATTGTAATATGATATATTGGAGTATATTTTAATTCAATAGATCTACGATCGCTTGATCTAAGTCATAATCAATTAACGCAATTACCTGAAAGTTTCGGAGATTTAATTAATCTTGAAGAGATTTATGTGAATGCAAATCGTTTAACAATTTTTCCATGTTTTAATCAATGTTCTCGACTAAAAGTAACTGGAAACTTTCATTCAGGCAGGAAAAAATGACGAACTTCATACTTTTATTTTTTTGTTAGGAAATTCATATGGCTGATAATCAGCTCACTGAAATTACTGATAATCAATTGAAACCACTTTTATCATTAATATCTCTCAATCTTCGTGGCAATAAAATACATACTTTACCAGATCAAATTTCCCTATTACCTAATTTAGAAAGACTCGATGTTACAAATAACGATCTTTCCGAGTATAGAATTTATAGAATAAAATTTCTAATTAGCTTTTTTTTACGTGAAATTTCTTTTTTCTAGTTTGCCATCGAAAATTGCATTGAATAAGAAAATAAAAAATATAAGTATGACTGGTAATCCATTGGGAAAAATTCGAAAAGATGTTATTCGCGTAAGAAAAAAAAGCGTCTAGAGAAATAATAGCTCATTAATTAGATTCTAGCTCGGAACTGACTCTATAATGAAATATCTTCGAAATCGACTAACAATTGATGATGGAACTGCTAGCAGTACTGATCAGCAAACATTCGACATTCCAAAATCAACGGAAACTGATGACGAAAGAAAACGTCGTTTATATACAGAACATCATGTTGTTCGAACTACTGGTACATTTGATTATAGGTAATTATAAGAAAGAAAAACATGACGAAGAAATGATAATTGAATTTTATTTTAGTCATAAGAATGTTTCAACATTATCGAATGAATCTATTGAACTCATTATAAAAGAAAAACCATCACATATTAATTTAGCAAAAAATAAATTTACTGAAATGCCTATTGCGTAAGTTATTGGAACTCATTTCATTGATTAAGATTGATATATTTCGAAAGATAGTTCATGAATTGATGTAAAGGTGAGATTTTGTAAAGTACATGCATGTAGTTATACCAGAGGGTGTTGGTTTTTTTTAATAACATATATGTATATGGTGATGGAAACACAATTTAGTTGAATGAATAATTGTTTTATAACTATAAATCCATATAGATTGGTACGATTGGCTGAATCTTTGCTTCATTTGGATATGTCTGCGAATGGCTTATTGCAATTGAATTCACAAGTTGGACAACTTAAAGAATTACGTTTTCTTGATTTGAGGTAGGATCATTCATATGCTATATTTTTAATATAATTTCGTTGATTATTGTAGTACAAATCGTCTAACAGATCTACCATCAGAATTGAGCTCTCTTGAGCATCTACAAATCATAAATCTATCAATGAATAAGTAGGTGGATTGCATGAATCCATAATGGAAGTTTTCCGATTGATAAGTTATGTGTGAGTCGAGCTATGTGTAATTTCGAGATGTGAATGAACTATGAATACTTTCAGTATATTGCTATGCTTCTATAGTAAAATACGAACATAAAATCGATTGAATCGCAAGAGTGATGTAAACAGCCCGAACAATGCGTCGAATTTAAAGCATCGTATAACAGTCGTTCTATCTCTAAGAACCGATAGGATGTGAAATTTTCCTGAGAAGTGTCACGGAATATGTTTTTAATGAAAAAAACTATAGAAATACAATGTTTTTTCATATTATTCATAGCTCAGTTCAGTCTAAGAATAATTCACGTAGTCTCGACTCCACAACAATTTATCAGTTAAAGAAGCGAAAAATTATGAAATCTATCTATTAGATTTGTTCGATTGCCCTCTGTTCTCTATGAATTAAAACAAATTCAAGAAATTCTTGCTAATGATAATCAACTGGTGGAATTAGACCCAAACGGTATCCTGAAAATAACGTCCACTTTGATTACATTCAATGTACGGAATAATAATATTCAACGGTTACCTCCTGAATTTAGCAAATGTACACTACTTAAATCTCTTGATGTTGCAGGTCAGTATTTTGCATTGAAAATTGAAAAATTTCTACATTGCTTTCTTTTTTCTTAGGTAATCCATTTAAAATACCACGACCAGCTACAATAGCCAAAGGTACACAAGCCATATTAGAACATTTACGAAATCAATTAATCGAATAATGAACAAATACATAATTCTGTTTTTTTTGTCCAGCGTGTAGTAGTTTGTTCACTTATCTTGTGTGCTTAAAAATAAATGACACGTCTTCAACGATTCTACTGCATTTTAAATGCTTAACGGTTACTTTGTTCGCCGTTAGTTCTTAATTGAAGTGTAACGGTCACTGATCTATATAAAAGGAACGTGTTCTGTTCAATCTTTTCTCATTATCTATAATCTAAAACAACAATGTTCCGTCATCAACAATCAGCCAAACCATGTCCAAATATTTGTTCGCCTGTACAAGTAAGTTAGCTGTTTCACTTCGAAGTTCTTGTATGGAAACGGATTTTAGAAAATACATTCAACGCCAATGCGTCTTTGGATTTCAAACATTCCATATTATTGGTCAACCATTGAACTTGAAAATATATTTTCAGTAGGTTTATTTTTGATGCTACATTAGTTTTGCTTTAATTGTAATTTTTTTCTCATAATGTATAGACATTTGGTCAAGTCTATGATGTTGAAATACCATTAAAAAATGGCCAATCAAGAGGCTACGGATTTGTAACATTTGAAAAGTATAAGCATTTGATGAACAATCAAAATAAAGAAAATATGATTTGATCTATATTTCAGACAAGCTGATGCAATACGAGCTATTCAAGCTATGGATGGACAAACAATTAATGGTCGTAGTATGCAAGTAAGTAGTTGAACGAAACAATACTTAACTATTCATTTACTTTCTCAAGGTATATCAAGCACATGTAAAACAAAAATCTTTATTGAAATCTTATTTTGTGATTCAATCACTCGATCGGCCGTTATTTGGTGGATGCTATTGCTGTAAATCGAACAAAATAAATCGTATGAATTATGGTCAAGCACATCAATGTCAATGATGAGACATATTGTTTGTAAATATTTATTATTTGTTTTGCTTTTTTTTTATTGTACAGCGAACGTAGATGGTGTAACTGAAAATTAAAACTAAGTTATTCTTATTTATCGTTGTTATTGCATGTGAATTAGGATGAAAACTTGTTTCTGTTTATCTCGTTGTTATTGTTATGTATATGAAGGAAAAAAAAGTACGGTTTGAAGTAAATAAACCAGATGAAGAAAAACTGAATAAATCAAATTACATTTACGAATATTGATGATAACAAAGAGTTGGATGTAAGACTGTTTCATTTAGGTTATTAAATTACGTACATTGTATGTGCTGAAAAAGAAAATTTATTGAACTAATATTTTAAGTATGATTTTAGTGAGCGCTTTCCATGAGCCGATAATTTGCTATTCTGATTCAAGTAATGCACTAGAATCATGAAAAACAAAAAGAAAGCTAGTATTTCCATAGCTAACGTGAATCTGAATTGAAAGATTTTTGATAAAAAAAAATGAAATAAGAAGTTCCGTGCGATTCAGATATTAGTTTTTTAGAATTCGAACATTATTATAAAATTCTACTGGGACTAGATCAGGTTATTGGGTCCATCCTCTTAACCACTTTAAGCTAGATATGTTCAGTAGACTTTTGATTTTCTTCATTTAAGACCAATACCGGCTTGTAACAAATCTAAATTATCAAACTAAATATAATTGTCTAGAACTACAAACGTCTATTGTATCGAGAAAAAAAGAGTATTTTTATTTTTAACTATATTTGTGTGCTGTTATACTGACTAATCATTTTCTAGAATTTCTACTGTACAATTTTCCTTTTAAATCATTGACTAAATGTGTGAATAATTACTTTTGTTGAGATCACAATCGAAAATCGTCTTGATTTATGATATACATAATGAACAACTGATCAATTGCGAATATCCAATGAACTTATCATATTTGTCAATCACACATCTTTGTGAGCCATTCATATTTATTGTACAAACAAACAAGGTATTACTGCGTATATTTGCACATTTTTCGGACACTTCAATGCGATTGAAAAGAATCAATAGCAGTTCGCCGAAACCAACACTTGATGTTTTTTTTCTCCTTCAAAATTGCTGAATTTGTTAGCAAACATTAAAATAGATTCAACATATTTCTTAGAATAAAACTAAAATTCATAGGCTTTCGTTGTTCATAAACTTCTGGGCGAGATTTTTTCGGATGATATTCTCAATTCTGTAGTATTGTAGAGAATTTTAAGCATTGAACTCAATGAAAAACTCTGTACACATTTTAATTTTTTGACTTCCGTCAAAATTTTCCCTTCAATCAATTTTGAGTCAAAAAACAAATTTCAATATTTAGTTGAATAGAGTAAGAAATCTTCGTAGAGATATTTTCATTGCCTTCAGTGACTTGTAAAGTCAATAATTTTCCTTGTGACATCATTACACATGTGTGACTACACTTTTGCCTGAATCCATATTTCTTTCCTGATCATTTTCATATCTAAGTCAATAATTTCATGTAGACAAGAAGTGTGAATCGATGACTTATTATGACATTCAATCACTCATATTTGATTCATAAATTTGGTTAATTAGAATTCAAAACAATAAACTCGACTCAATCATTCTATGAATACTTAATCAGTATTCGATTCTAAGTTTATATCAATTGTTAAAATCAACGCATAGAATTTCTTTGATGAACACATAATATTAATCTGAAATCTAAAATAGGAAAATGAATCTTATGCTCTATTAATAGATTTATAACCGTTGTCTTCCTGTTATCAATAGTGTTAAAAACTTATATTATTCCTTCTCTTTTTCTTTCGCGATTCACACTTTGATGCTGATGAAAAGATTTGTCAAAAACGAAAGTCATTTTACAATTATATTAGTTCGGAAAATAAATCATTCTGTCTTGTCTTAATTACTCTCACGTTCCATTATGATGAATTGAACATTATTATTCGTCTCTAAAAAAAAATAGAAAATGTTTCGAACACAATTAAGACAAATGAAAAAGTTTATTTCATTCAAGAATATTTTGAAAAGCAACTACAAAACATATACAAAATATGCCATGTAATTATGTTCAAGAAATAAATTATATACATATTTTCTATATTCATCAAGTAATTGACTTATGTGCTTATGCATCTTATTATGGACTCAAGAAGAAAAAAGTCAACGAGAAAAATTCATTTCACTTGTTTCAGAAACTAAGCATTGTCAACAACATTCTTTTCATTTTCATACATTTAAACTTCGATGAGCAATCTGTTTTATGAAACTTATTTTTCCTATCACATTTTTTGCTTTATTATAATATAGAAATCATTGGCTCGTAGCATAAACGAACACGCGTAAACGAACTAGCTATAAAATAAAGTTGCGTATCAATTATAACATTTTCATGTACATTTATTAACAAAACATTGACCAGTGATGTCATCATCTAAACAATAAAAATAAAATTTGTTTGTTATATAATGGAATCTTTTATGAAAACTGAAACGCAAGAACATATTTTGAAAATCATTTTTTTTCCGGATAATTATTTTACCGCGAATAGATTATAAAGCAAACGCTCCTTCGCAAGAATAAAAATTGAAATAGATTGCCGCAAAAAAATCAAGTACTGAGTTCAAAAAATTAAACGATTGTTTATTTCATAAACACACACACTAAAGAAGAAATATTTCACTGATAAAATATCTCAAGTGATTCAAAAGTGCAATGCAAGCTATTGACTTTTTTTGTACAGAGCTCACAGCATGATAATTGATGAGCTTTATTTACTCGTTCGTCGCTGTTGATGATAATGTCTCTTATAGATATCTTCTACGTTGTTATTATTGTTATTATTATTATTATTATTGGTCAAGCAAGTTGCATGTGTACATATTAACATAGAAAGCTGAACATTCCATTAAAATGCATACACGCACATGCATACAATTCGTTTTTCTTAATCGAAATTTTGAGTACAAGTGTTAATGTAGTAGAGCAGATCGAGAAAAGAAAGATTGGCTATCTCAAATGATGAATATCGTCGGCAATGACTGATGTAAGGTGACAAACCCATGATCGCTCTCTTCCTGTCATCACCTGAAGCCCTGCCGTTTCAATGTTTGATCTTTCGATTTCAATTACAGTTTTGTGCTCATGGGCGCGTGCGACTAGGCACATGCATACATGCATAGGTATCTATCTACACATTTTTCTTTTGGTTTGCTTCAATTATAAGTCGTCTGTCATTTCTGTTTTGTTGTTGAAAAACGAACCATCATTCTTCGTTGATCAGATCTTCGAATAAAAGTTCGATTATTCACACCTGTTATAAAGCTACAAGAAAAAAAAAGAGGAGAAGGAGAAGAAAATCTCATTTTACAAATTAGAAAGGAGGTATGAGCGTGATCGAAATCATTAAGAAGTCGCTCATATATACATATTTATTTGATCATTTTTTTTTCTGTGTGTGGACATTGCGTGCCGTTGACGCAAGTAAACGAAGACGAAAAAAGAAGCATTAACAGGAAATGAATGAATGAGAGAAAACGCAATTCGATCACATCGTTAAAAGTGTATTGACCTTGAGAAAACAGCGTGTGAAGAGATCAGATTTTTTTCTAAGCTTTTTTCTAAACATTGAATAGAAGAAAATAAAATAAAATCATTCGTCCTTCATATTGTCTATTTTCATTACTGATGAGACTCTGCATGACTCAAAAATATGTTCAACTATTTATTTATCTTTGCACGTATTACATGAAAATTTCCTATGCTTCAATTACTACCCATATGCTTGTCATTTCATATCTTAGTTGACACCAAATGCTTATCACACGAACTACCAACTTGTTTTGTTTGCTTTTTCATTCTGTCAAGCTAATCAGAATAAATGATCATTAACATAGCAATTAGATATTGACGAAATTCATGTATTGAATTGCTTACGGCATTGATTTTTAGCTAATATTTGATTACATTGATGGGAATTTTATTAAAAAAGAAAAAGAATTTCTTTTTCTTGTTCATTTGCATATCTCGTTCAAGTTTATGAAACAGTAATAAAATCAAAATGAACTAAAGATGAAAGCGGTATCATGAAGTGGAAATAAACTTTCTTCTATGATGATCGACAGCTCCTGCTGTGAATACTTATCGATTGAAAATATCAATTAGACTGGCGAAAAAAAAAAACAGTTTGATGTGTTTTGCTTTTGATTTAAATCATAATATTTAGAAGTTAAGCTTTCCTAATGATCTCCAGAGGGAGATGAACTTTTTTTTGTTGCTTTGTTGGCTTCATACATATATATACTTGACCGAATTTATGCCTTGGTTCATGTGTGTTCAATGAAACGTAATGAGGAAACGTTTCGAACGGTCAACCCGAAGAGGAAAAAAGAGAATAATGGTTGGCTAAGTGTGACCAAGCGAAAGGCGTATTAGCGTGATTGATATGTCAATCTTTCTATGCCTCTGATCATTCGAGCAACGCAATTTGGCGCGTTTGAACAAGAAAATAAAAAAGAACACACACACACTTGTCAATCCAAAAGGATGGGGAACGAAAAAAAATTCAAAAGAAAGATATTTTATATCTCTAAATTATCCGGAAAAAAAGATTAATTTAAAATTCAAATTTACTTTTCAAATCTTTATCCTCCGGGATAATTTCACATCTCAATCTACACGTCACTAAGCTCTTACATATGTTATTACGACTGGCAAATGAGCACGAATAAACCTTATTCTCCAAGGCATTCGCCAATTGCTTTTTGATTATTCGACAAATGAGGAAAATAAAAATAAAACATTTTTTTTTATTGTCACACGCACACATTTAACTCAACTCATGCATTATCTCAAATGACTTTTTTAAAGCTTGTCTACCCTGCTGGCTAATTGCTTCTAGACGACAAGTCTCTCGCGGCAAATCTTTTTCGTTACGCACATACGCACACACATATGTAAATACGCGAGAAAAACACAAATGCACACTTATTGATAACCGCGACTGAACAAGGTGTGTGAATTTACATGTAAGATTACTCAATCGATAATTGGGAATCCCATCTGGGGCGACGATAAAAAAGAAGAAGAAATTTGAATGTGCGAAATACAGTAACAGCAGCTCAATCGCTGCAATTCACTATTTACGCTTGATATATTGACTGTTCACATCTCTGTCGGTCAATTTTGCTACTTATGTAATCAATTTGTTTCATACAGATCAAACTATTATTGGTTTTTCTTTGCCATCGGATGTGATACGGACGAGGAAAAAACTTCTATTTGAATTTAACGACTACAAGACAAAACAATAATTCATATAGAATGATTTCCTGTAATATGTTTGCAAAATAAAAATTAATTCTTTTTATGATTTCTATATATCGTATCTAATTGTTCGATAAGGTCAACTTTTTCGTACTTCTATGTTTTTCTTTTTGTTTTTTGACAATTGATCAATGAAGTGCCATTTTTGACGACTAATTGATCAGTAGTTTCGTTCATGGTTCTTTTTTTTCTTTAATACGAAAAGTTGTCAGGTAGCTAAGAACATCTGTTTTGTCCAATGACCGATAGTTAATCCCAGATAGCTCTCTCTCTCTTGAACAACGGTCAACAAATGACGTAAGTAAACCAATCGGTTTCTTTAAAGAAATTATGTCAATGTTTAACGATATTGGGTTGGTTGAATTTCGTAATCGAAAAGAGGAAAACGGGCGGTGGCGAGACGATGAACACGTAATCTCAAGGTCAAGGTGGAACGAGAGAGAGAGAGAAACAGGGAAGGAAAATTGTTATTTTCGTTTTCCTCTGCTTTTTCTCTTTTTCGTCTTCTCCCTCCCTCTCTCTCTCTCTCTTTCACTAACAATTGATATCAGCAAAACTCTTAAGTTTAACGCAACACAATTGTTCAAGCACGCGCACATTGAGCAACAACAACACAACAATAACAAAAATCACGTAATTCTGAGCCAAAGTCTGACGTAAGATAGAAAACATTGTAAGATTGTTTATTTCATAAGTAAACGAAAGAAACAAATATAACGTAAGTACAAATCATAATTTTTTTATTTACCTACATTCATTCAATGCATCGATGACAAATATCAACGAGTGGTAAAATTATACGCAACTTCTAGAAAAACCAAGATTTTTTTCTCATCAAAAAAATTTTCATCTCAATGTAAATTATTTATATATTTTAGTTTAATCACCACCAATGATGCACGCCGCTGTTGCTTATTCTCACCATCCAACTGGTTATCCATCATTTCTATCCTATGCACCAACAGCACAACGTAAATCTGATTATGGAATGTCACTTCATCATCCACATCATTATTTAAATGATTCAATTGGTGCAAATACTTCATCAAGTAGTCCATCATCCAACAATAGCTCTGCACATTTATTATCCTATAGTGGCTATAGTACTGGCCTTGATTTATCATCTCATACAAATAATTTAAAACGTCCGCGAAGTGATATTGATGATGATGAAAATAATAATATTAATAATCATAATGAGGATAGTCAAACATCAGCATCACCATCAACGTCTGTGTTAGGTGATATAACATCAGCAACCAATGGTCAAAAAATGTATCAACATCTTAAACATGATTATTCACAAAATGAATTATGTCCATCATTACCATTCAAAAAACGTGCACGAGCTGTTCCACCTGAACAAAAAGATTCTGCTTATTTTGAAAAGCGAGCTCGTAATAATGAATCTGCAAAACGTTCACGAGATGCTCGTCGCCAAAAAGAACAACAAACACAAGATCGTTTGAATTGTTTAGAACATGAAAATTCACGTCTATTAATGGAAAATCAAGCACTTCGCTATCAACTTTCTCAACTGCATGCATTGTGTGGTGTATCATCAAAACCATTACAATAAAAACTTCATATAAACAAACATTTTGTTTTCTATTTTTTTTTGTGTATTTCAAACAAACTAAATAAATATAGTTTATTACGTTATTCATTGGAAAGTAAACGGATTTGTCCTAATGCCTGCAGGTAGTAATGAGCTCAAGTGGACAGTGCTCAGATAGCCTACTGTTTTTTCGAGTGCTTGAGACAAACAATACAACTGCATGACATCCCGTGGTGTTCAGTCATCCATCATCAGAAGTGTGTGACATTTTTTTTCCTTCGTCTTCTTTTCTTTTATTTTATTCAGCAACAACGAAAAGAGAGAGAGAAACAAAAACAAGAAATAACATGACGTATTATGATCGATGTTTCAATTCATCTAATGCAGTTGTATCATTTTCTAAACGAAAGAATGAATCAATCAATAGAATAAGATTTTTTTCCTCTTACTTCGTCTTGATGCTAATTGATCAGGATCGCCAAATAGAAGTGGATATGAACGACTTACGTTCAATGACGATGTATATTTTAATGGTTGTTTTAATAAAAGATCAAGTTCATTGCGTAATTGCATTTCTTTTTTCTGAACTTCTTTTGTATTGGCTGATCTAGCTTTTTCAATATCTCTATAATTTATGCAAATTTAGAGATTAAAAATAAAATGAAGAGATTGAATGTTTTCTTTTTTTGTTTTCGCTTACTCTATGTTATCATCTAATTCAATATCTAATTCTTTAGCTGCTTTATGATACCAACTTGCTTCATGCGTTACTTTAGCAACTTGATGATGTAATCTAGATATGTCAGATGCAAGACGAACACGTTGTTTTAAATTTGCTAGATAAGTTATATCAATAGGAAATGCTTGAAGATCTTCGTCTAGACAAAAAAAACGAGTCGAACATTTCAAAACAAAACAAAACATGAGTATTTTCGATTTTTACCTCGATTGAGTGTTTTAATAATTTTCCGATAGAGAAATACTTCTTCGGGACAAATAAACATTATACTCAAACCTTGACGATCAGCACGAGCTGTACGACCACTACGATGAATATAAAGCTAGTCGGGGAAAAAAACACACACAATTATGCATATCGATATTGATTAAACTTTTTTCTTTTTACTTCTGTTGATCTTGGTACTTGATAATGAATAATATGTTTGATATTTGGAATATCTAAACCACGTGCTGCTACATCGGTAGCAATTAATAATCCATTTTCCGAACCTATTTTTATTGAAAATGATCCTATTTAAAACATACGAGAGGAATAGGTTTTTGTTTTACTAGAGAATCTTTCTAAATTATTCAAACGTTGTTTTTGTTCCATTTGTGCATGTAATGGCAATGGATTTCTTTTTAAGAGTGTTAAAATCGATTGTAATCGTTTAATACAATCAATACTATTGGTAAATAATAATGTTCGACCGGGATATAATGATAGAAAATAATAGAGATAAATATCCTAGAAAAAAATGACTTTTTATTTAAGCGAATGATTTATTTCTTAGACAAACTTTTTCTTCTAATGGACAATTAACACGAGCTTCAGTTAATGTTTCAACTGTACCAAATTTTTTTGTTAAATCAATTATCTTCGGCTTAGCACTCATACCCACAGCGGAAATTAATGTAGCTAAAAATGTAACATAAAAAAAACATGAAGATAAATTGAATTAATTGTAAACAAACCAAGTTTATCTTGATTATCATTTTTTTTCTTTGTTTTTTTCTTTTGTTTATCATCACTCGATTGTAACATGAGTGTTGCCGAGAAAATAAATTTCTGACGTGATTGATTACTATCATCACTAATTAAATAAGAGATAAAGCAATAAAAAAAGTAGAAGAAAAACACAAGAGATATATCAATATTACCTATTGATTAGCTTAAGAATTTTTTCCAATTCTTCAAAATGTCCTTTTTCAATCATTCGATCAGTTTCATCGATAGCTAAAAATCGAAGTTTCGACATATCCATTGTATGCTCATTATTCTAGCAAAAGAATTTCGTTTATAAAAGAAAGAATTTGATTTTTCTTCTCTATGATATTTTACTTCTTGTAATAATTCCCAAAATCGACCAGGTGTTGCAACAATAATTTCGGGTTTTTGTGCTAATAAACGTTCTTGTTTTTGTGTTGACATACCACCAACAATGACAGCAGTCTAGATTTATTTTCGATATAGAAATAAGATTAACTTCTTTTTAATGATATTTTACTTTAAATTTTGTATAACGACAAGCAATCTGAATATGAGATTTGATTTGAACAGCTAATTCACGTGTTGGTGTCAGAATCAAACTTGTAAATTGTCCATAGGACATCTAAAAAAAATCATTTCAAAACATTAACTGCTTGATGATGGCAGATATTTATGTATATATCCGTTTGCTAATCAACTTTTTAATGAGGATGTGAATTCGACTGAAGAAAAGATCCTCAACTTAAAGATTATCATACTTAAGAGATAATTTTTGATTCGGGTTGGAAGAGAATTTGTTTCTGGAAATTATGAATTGAACTTACTTCATTATTTTCCAATAATGTTGACATGTGAGTAAGAATTGGAATAGCAAAAGCCAATGTTTTACCACTACCCTAGTTTCGTACGAAAGCAAAATATCTTTGTGTTTTTCATAAGAAAAAAGAACAACGAAAGTACTGTTTCAGCAGCGCCAATAATATCTTGATGATCACGAATAGCAATGGGTAAAGTCAATCGTTGTATTGGAGTTGGTTCAGAAAAATTTTGTTCCAACAATGAACGAATGATGTCGTCGGAGACATGAAGATCAGACCAGACTTTTTTGTCAATGTCTATTTTTTTAGAATTTTAGAGATGAAGAAAAGAAGAGAAAGAGATTTTGTCGTCTTACCAAAACTATCGGCATTTGCAGTAGTGTCAACTTCTTCATTCTTATTTTCATCAGCTGTTTGAAGTGTAGATGTAGCACGAGTTTGATTTGAACGTGTTTTCTTCTTTGGTTTCTTTTTTTTAGCTTCTAAATTAAAATTTTTAGATGAAATTATTTGATAAAATTAGAGATTTTTTTTCACTTTTAACTGGCGTTACAATTTCTTGTTCATCAGGCTCAATTTCATCAAGCTTTCGTTTGTCCTTCGTATTTTTCAGTTTCGTCTTCTTCTTACTTAATTGCTTATCCTCCTGGTCCTTGACAAAGAAAATCACACAGATATTTTATTTATCAAGAAATTTGAGTAGTTATACTTCGCCATTCGTTGCGGGTATTTCACGCCAACAAATGAAACCCATACCGCGCATCTTTTCAAAATTAGGTGCCATGTCAAGATCATCACCATCATCATTATCATCATCATCGTGATCAAACATCTGGAGAAATAAAAATCAATTAGGGAAACAATCGTATCAATTGTTCGTCATTGCTAAACATTTTTTTTCGTTTTATATGAAAGAAGACATTAGTACATGAAGAAAAACAAAATTATGCAAAAAAAAAATGTTGATTGCTCATTCACGTAATGCGATCGACCATTATGTGGTAAATGTTGGTTGCAGCTAAAAAAAAGATGAAAACCGATAAAATTAAAGGTACTCGAGAAGCTTCGTATGATAGCATTTTGTTTGTTTGCAGATTCTATCACTGGATGGACTAGTTTGTTATGAGAATTAAATGTTATCAACTATAGGAATCATACTATTTTTAGATTTTATTGCATGTTCATACGCAGATACCACGTCATGTGGGTAGACATACAAATATGAAATTATTTTGATACAGAAAATCCCCTGAGATGCGAATGTTGTTTTCATGAAAATGATTTATTCGATTATGAAAAAATTAAATAATTTTAATTTGATTGAAATAGTCTGTGATTGCGATCAGAAACTATTGCCTAATGATGAAGCTCATCAGTTATTCAAAGGAAAATATCGATCCGACAGTGATTCTAGTTATTTATTTTTCTTAGCATACCTGATTGTATTGTTCCTAACAGTTGAACGAGTTCAAATCATAAACGGTAATCTTTTGTCCGTACCGATTGATAGTCAACTCACATTATATTTATAAAATGACAAGTTACAGAGTTTTAGTTTGTCTGATTTAAAATTTTTTCGATTAATATAAAAATCGATTGATATTGATATTTTTGTTGTTGATGTTTTCTCCATTGATTACAATAATCTTAAATAAATCTCTACAGAGAAAAAATCATTGAAGTTTAAATAGATATGTTGTTTTTCTTGAAATGATGATTCTATTAGAAACGAAAAAAAAGGCAATACATTTGTGTTCTATGTTTAATGTTGAAAAAGACTTTTTTTGTTTTGTTTTATACATAACAAATTCAAGAATTTGAAGAAATAAATAAATGAACGAAGTAGAGCGAAAGAACAGAATTTAAAGACGATAAGAAAACTACGATGAATATCGCTTTGTAAGTGAGATTTTAAAGAAAAAGAAAAACAACAACAACAACAACAACAACAGATCAAGGAGATAGTACACACAATCAGTTTGGATCACACACACACACACATACAATTATAAAATATATTTATTAGTCAAAGGTTTAGGAATAAAAACCGGAGGATATGGAGAGGAGAGTGGGGGCGAATAAATTATTGTTTATATTTTTCTTAATTCGTTTACTTTATCGAACTGATGGTGGTGGTGTTAGGAGTGTAAAGTATTGATGCAGTGTATCTTTAATTGCATTACAAATTTGTGGCGATGGTGATGTTGTACATTCAACTAGACATGGATACAATGCTATTAATTGATGCCATATATTCATTTCGACTGTAAAAATAAAAATGAATTTTGTTTTGAAACATTAAAAAAAGGCAACAGATCGCATACCTGAATCTTTTGGTGCTCGTTTTAATGCACCAATCAGTGTACCCAATGCTTTAAGTACAGAAATCATTTCAGCTGTGCGTGGTCTAAACGAACACACAGTTTTTTAAGTAATGATATACAATTGATAGTGGATAACATAAATACATTCAAAAATAAACTCACGCACGCACGCACGCACATACACCTCAATCATATATAAAACAATGCAACTAACCATTTGATAGGAGCAATATCAACGGATAATTCAGATTAGATTTTTTCTCAAATCAATACTCCAATATTATGTTTTAGCATGCATTAATTCAAATCCAATGCTTGACTTTTGTTTTAGTATTCTGAGCTTTAAAAAAAATGATTTATTATGGTAAATAGTTTTTATCTATAAAAGCATAGAAATCTATCAAGAGACTCCTAATGAGATTTAATGTATATATATATATGGTAGACATGCATTTACAGTGATATGGAGTCGTAGTTTAGCTTATTTTGTTTAAAAAGCTATTTACATAATTTTTAAGGGAGAAAAAAACTTACGAAAAAGGAGTGAAGCTGTTGTGATTGTAATTGAGTGCTCCAGCAACTGGTTCAAGATTATCACTACTGCAAAAAAGTCAATATCAAGCCTCACTCAATAATTTATATGTTTACTATTTAGCTTATCGAAATGAAAAAAAAAGTTATCTTCCCTTTTACATAATTGTAATTTGAAGAAGTAAAGAAGTTTTCGTACCGTGGTAATGGACATTTGCCATGTAGACGTTCATCATGAGCATATTTCTGTAAAATTTCTTTGCAACGACTTAACATTGAACCGAGTGCAAGACGTTTTATGACCAGATTTTCATTCGATGATGATTGATCATTTATGAATGAATATTTGAGTAGAGTTTCAAAGCATATTTTAGAAAATTCTTCACGTAATCGTCGAGCAGAATCAATATCTAATATTTGAAATAGAAAGAGAATTGAAAATAATGAAGCAAATACAAGATAGAAAAGAAAATATCAATCTTAGCAAATTCAACTAACGATTCTGAAAATAATGAATCCGACGAACTCTTCCTAAAAGGATTTCCGCCAATCGGATGCATGCTGAGCATATACTACTGCAATGATATATGTCAAATTTAAGTTTTTTTTTTCTGTTAAGATGTTCTCTTTCAAATTTTTCATACCAATAAAATTATCTGTTGTACATGAATAAATGGAACCTCGATTTAGTATATTCAATATTTTTGTTATAAATATTTCCGGAAGTACATTAGCATATGGTAGAATGTCATCGCGGATTAGTTCAATAGCCTATGAAAAGAATCAAGATAGAAGTATTCTTATTCGAGATTAAGCATACTTGACAATCGATTGCTTCATCTCGTTGAATTTCTTCAATTGGAATATCCGATGGAGGTACACTGAAAGTTCACATGAAGAAAATTTATTAAATAAAAAAATGCGAGAAAATACCTTTTTGAAAATAGAAAATCATCGAAAGCTTTAGCCAAATCTGCCCACATACTTTCAAATGCGTTTCCTAAAAATAAAAACAATTGGTAAACAAGAAAAATTTCAACGTTAAAATAATTACGATGTTTTCTTGCGACGACAAGTCCAATTTTAAGTACACGAAAAAAACATTCAATTGCTAATTTCCAAGTTGTTGAACTCGGACAATTATATTTCATTGATAAGGGAATTTGTAATGTCTAGTAAAAAAAGAATAAACCATTGAATTGGATCAAATTAAAAAACTCAATCTTACTTGAATCATTGTTTGCAATGTTCCACTGTCAATGACTGCTGGATTATCAGTAACATCCTCATATAAACTAGCTGCCATACGAAGGATCTTTTCACTAAATGGTACAAAATTAACATTTGAATCGTTTGTTTTTCCATTGGTTTGTCTATTTGTTGGAATCTTTTTTATTTGCTCTGCACAATCGAATACTGGCGGGTTAATTGCATACAGAACAAGAGCCAGTAAACGCTTGAAACAAATAGGTAAAAGTGCTGATGCATTCAATGATTTTGCTAATTCTAATTTTAAATTTTTACAAACAAATTCCATTGCTTTATATGCTGATTCTTGTAATAGAGTTAAATTAACATCGGTTGGAATTAAAAACAAAGCCATATCGGAATGTATGGGAACAGCAAGAACACGTTCAATGATTGTTGAGAATTGTTCAAAATGTTTTGCATCATGAATAAAATCACTAGACCAAATATGATTTATTATATTTGGAAATATATCAATAAAATATGTAAGAAAATTCTGTGATGGAATATTGGAATCGTAGCGATCAATTATTATCACACGTTCAGGTGGACAACGACTACAACCATTACCAATATTTAACCAAACTTGCCAAGCTTGTTGCCATAATTGTTGATCATGAGGTGTTATAGGTTTTTTTGGCGATGGAGTTTGTGTAACATTCAATGGTATATTAACAAGTTCATTGAAACTTTTTAATGCAGCAAGAGCAATTTCAGGATTCTTTGCTAGAGCAGATTTTTCAATATTAGTTAACAGTACACTCCAGACTTTAGGAAAGTCGTCTAAAAGAAGAGAAAAAACCAAAGAAGTGCTCGATAGACTATCAAGAAATATATAAATTTTGTTGAGTAAATAGTATTTACCTAATTTAGTCAGAAAATCTTTTTTCACTTGAACTGTTCTTGTCACACCTGCCAATATCATAACATATGTTTCTGCCCATTGTTTTTCTGGTGTATCTCTTGAATGATGCATTAGGATTTCTTGTCCACCTGATGATTTCGATAATTGTTGTTGTTGCATTTGTTCTCGTTCTTTTGAAGCCGTATAGAAGAATTGTTCCACATGTTCGAATAAAGGAAATAAAACTTGCCAAATTAGAATACTCCACGCACCTGAACTCAGTAGTTGTCCATGTGATGTTATCATAGTAAATAATGTTGATGATGCTGATTTTCTTATTGCTGGGCGTTGATCCATTGTTAATTCACTTAATTTTCTATATAAAATCATCCATAGTTCTTCTATTGATGTTAATGAATCATAAATTTCATTTGGATCTAAATAATCATTGACATTCTTCAATTGATGTTCTTGCTCTTTCATACGAAATAAATAATCAGTCATATTCCATAGAAGACCAATAGCAGATAGTGCTATATTTAAATCTTGTTCTTGAAAACCAAATTTCGCCACTACTTTTATTAGTATACCTAAATAACATATTGGAATAGTTGATAAGAAATCTGTAACAACTAATTGTAAACATTGTTGCGCTTGACGTATCAAAGAATCATTGTGTTCACGACTTATTGAACCAATTATATTTAATCTAAAATAAATAAATAAATAAGCAGAATAAATCAAATAAAAATTTTCTAGTCAATTTACATTATTGGCCATCCAGTTTGTAGTGTAGGCCCATTGTTCGTCAATATTGATAGAGTAGCTTCAAGTTGCTTTTGGCGTACGTCAGAATATTGAATTATTGATAATTCATGTAAAGAT